TAGGGCTGCGTTACGGGTGCGTTACAAGGGGCGGAGAAGGGGGGGGGGGGGTTAAAAACCGGAAAAAGTAAGTCACGGAATAATTGAACAGCCCCCTAGGGGTAAGGGTTGATTGTATCTGTGCTTTTTAACTTAAGAGCTCCATTCATGTTCACCATCACTTACTACGTTAGTCGTTAGTTTACACGTTAGTCACATACTAACATGCATTGATCCCATTCTCAATGCCCTGATTTTAACTTTCCGGATTTCAATTACTCCGTTTTTCCAGAGACAGTCATATACTAACATGCATATACCTTGCCCCATTCTCAATGCGCTGATTTTAACGTTCCGGATTTCAATCACTCCGTTTTCCCGGAGACAGTCACATACTAACATGCATGGACCCCATACTCAATGCAGTGATTTTAACGTTCCGGATTTCAATTACTCCGTTTTCCCGGAGACGGTCACATACTAACATGCATAGATCCCATTCTCAATGCCCTGATTTTAACTTTCCGGATTTCAATTACTCCGTTTTTCCAGAGACAGTCATATACTAACATGCATATACCTTGCCCCATTCTCAATGCGCTGATTTTAACGTTCCGGATTTCAATTACTCCGTTTTCCCGGAGACAGTCACATACTAACATGCATAGATCCCATTCTCAATGTCCTGATTTTAACTTTCCGGATTTCAATTACTCCGTTTTTCCAGAAACAGTCATATACTAACATGCATATACCTAGACCCCATTCTCAATGCGCTGATTTTAACGTTCCGGATTTCAATTACTCCGTTTTCCCGGGGACAGTCACATACTAACATGCATGGACCCCATACTCAATGCAGTGATTTTAACTTTCCGGATTTCAATTACTCCGTTTTTCCGGAGACAGTCACATACTAACATGCATAGACCCCATTCTCGATGCCCTGATTTTAACTTTCCGGATTTCAATTACTCCGTTTTTCCAGAGACAGTCATATACTAACATGCATATACCTTGCCCCATTCTCAATGCGCTGATTTTAACGTTCCGGATTTCAATCACTCCATTTTCCCGGAGACAGTCACATACTAACATGCATGGACCCCATACTCAATGCAGTGATTTTAACGTTCCGGATTTCAATTACTCAGTTTTCCCGGGGACAGTCACATACTAACATGCATGGACCCCATACTCAATGCAGTGATTTTAACGTTCCGGATTTCAATTACTTCGTTTTTCCGGAGACAGTCACATACTAACATGCATAGATCCCATTCTCAATGCGCTGATTTTAACTTTCCGGATTTCAATTACTCCGTTTTTCCGGAGACAGTCACATACTAACATGCATAGACCCCATACTCAATGCAGTGATTTTAACGTTCCGGATTTCAATTACTCCGTTTTTCCGGATTTCAATTACTCCGTTTTTCCGGAGACGGTCACATACTAACATGCACAGACTCCATTCTCAATGCTCTGATTTTAATCCAACATTCATGTAACAGAGCACCGTTCAGCAAGAGCAAGTAAGCTGTTCGGCCGTCTCCTTCTCCGGAACGCGAACCGGCGTCGCGTTTCGTCTAATTACTAATTAATTACGTTGGTATTGAATTTAGTCGCAGTGGCAGGCTGTCAAAACGAAACTGTTTTTGGGACACCGAACCAGACAACGTCAAGCGAACAAACACCTCCCGCGTATCTAACTGAGCCTCAGCAACAGTGTTCTCTTATGGAATCGAAGGCTCATGCCGGAGGCGGATAGCCCTCTTTCGTTTAATGCTGTCCAAATATACAGGAGTTGGCGAAACGAAACCCTGGCTGGGCGCCTGCGCCTGGTCACAGATCATCGGTCATTTAGACAAAAGGGCGTACCTCTACTTTAACTTGAGCTCTGGAACGCATTGCGTCCTGCGAAGGTTAGGGCTCACGTAGGAATTGAGATTCGTTCTTACGTCAGAGGGGCGACGAGATCAGCAAGACTAGAACTGAAGCGAGACGCGCGCTATTGAAATTGACAATTCTTGGGGCTGTCGGACCAGAGATGCAATATTTCATGCAATTTTATGGAGTTAATGGAACTTTTTTAAAAGACTCTAAAAGTTATGAAAGGCCTGAGAATTTGAAAAATTCAATTTAAAATTTTGGGATCCCCGTGCAAAATTTCATGAAATTTTATGTTTGAAATTGGACGTTTCGGACTTTCAGTGCCGATGAGCTTTGTTATGCTGCTCAAAGCTTGCTTAGTTTCGATCAAGTTTTGCTAACTTTGCAGGTATAAGATCTGGAGACCCCACTGGAGGTTTCATCACAAATGGATTACATTTTGCAATAAGGTATCACTCTCTTTGGCTTTCCTATGAAAGCACATATCTGCATAGGGAAACCAATGGCACATATGTTGTTTCTAAAATGGGTCAGAAATAGTGGTTCTTTTTTGAAAAATGTAATCCAAATGTTCATCGTATTTTTATTTACATTTTTAGAGAAATTATCAGAAAAAGTGTTTTTTTTTATCTGCTTCAAATTACGTGCAAAGTTGCACAATCTGAGTGGCGGTCATTTCTGGAGAAAATGTCCGAACTCTGTGGAATATCCTGAAACCCTCTCAGTTAGAATAGAAATTCAAATAATACTCAATTTTGCATCCCCATCCTCGAGACGTTTGGCGATATTCGGATTTTCGTGAACACGCGGCAAGTGAGGAGATCATAGCGGATGACGTCAATGAGACAAGTATGACTCGACTTCTGCCCAGTGCCAGACCGGACCGAGTCGCTACACCTAATTTTTCTGTGGAGTTTTCCCTCGTGACATTTAGATCAGCTGATTAACAGGACATGTCCAGGTGTCAGCCGAGGTTGCCAGAATGGTATCCAACGGCGGATTTGAGAAGGGTAGGGGATCGGTTCTGTCCCCGTCATCCCCTTCCCTGAGTGTCGGGCAATCTAGCCTGGCACTTAGACTTGTATTGTCAATCGGATGATCTAAATGTCAAAATATCGGTCCAAAAACTGAAAATAAGGGTCGTGTGAGCAAGAGGAAGCGCGAATTGTACCGTTTTTGAACCAATCACCTGATTCTCCCCCTCCCCACCTCTCCCTTATTACTGCTCGATGCGAAAGCAGGAACTTTGATCATGTCACTTATGTATGTTACGTCCTGTCGGCGAAATTGCCCCGCCCGCGGACTGACCATCCCCATTACTCAATTTGCAAACTGGCGACGTTTTTGGACAGAACCGATCGGTCTAAAGTCTGAAAATTACTCCAACGGTAATTTTAGCTGCAGTCCATACACTATCCAGCGAATATCCACCAGAAAAATCTCTGACGAATAAATCTTGAGATTTTTACCGAAACTTAAAGGGATCAAAACAAAAAGCATTACAAATTATAAAAATTGACAAGTTACGAGAATCAAGTTAACAATTTTTTTTTTTTTTTTCAATTTATTTCAGAAGTATTTAATGAAAATTTGCAAGTTTTTTTTACCAATCCGGTGTCCGAGTGAAGAAAACCGATCAATAGAAAATCAGGTTGGCGAGGGAGAGGTGAATGAATCAAACAGAAAAGGACAATTTTCGGCGAAAATGTACATCAAATTTTGCTCAAAAATCATTCCAAAAGTTGAAAAAAAATCCACGAGAGTCTAAAATTCGTTGACCAATACGTAAATCCCTCACACATGCAACATCTCCATTTATAGTTCCAAATTGCAAAATGAAGTCCAATTGGCAACGGAGGGCGCCAAGCGGCGATGGGCGCGGCGCGGGGTCAGATTTGTAAAACACCTCGTGAAGCGGCAGCGCAGTGAACAATCAACAGCTCGGCGTCAGATGTGGAGTTAATCATGGTTGTTGAACTCGGAAGTGATTAGTCGATCGGTAATCGAGGGAATTTACTCGTGTAATGCTGAGGAAATAGCCATGCCCGTGTCGTGCCGTGCGGGTGCGCTAAGGTTCGTTACTGTTG